TAAAATAAAGTTTACAACTTTATTCAGTTACAGACTCTATTAATGGGCAAATGCCTCATGCTTCAGATGATGTATTGTATATCCTTGTAAGTAGATGAAGAAATGACTGCAAAGCTCTTGCACAGTCTTATATTGTTTGACAAATTCTTGTAAAATAGTTTGACACTCATATATTCAAGATCTGAATTATTTTCTAGTCTTGAAATTTTTTAAGTGACAGTTTTCAGTTCAGAGATTAAAGATCTCGGAAATAAGAGAAACTGTTTTTAACTGTTCTTGCATATTTTTTTCCGTGATGGGTCATCCATCAATGCACGTTTGTGCTTGTTAAACATTAAACACCAACTTTTGCTTACCACGTCCACAGAAGTAACTTATCCTACATCACGTCAAGATTGCAGCTGGTCTCACACAAGCAATGTGAATTTTACATCAAAGTTAAAACTAACATAACATGGAATGAAGAAGAAAAGCAAAATAGTTTAGGTTTAAATCTAAACCTATGTGGACAGTGTTGCAAAAACCTTTGACTCTGTAAATGCATGCATGCTAAGTAAATACATCTGATAAACATGTTTTCTGCTACAGAATTTTGCACTTAAACATATGAATTTGTGAAAATGTTGTAGGTAGAGGTAATTTTTGCTTCTGTGGTTAGAAGCATAATAATATTTATTTATATGACAAATATAATGAGAGAACATTCGGTAAGTTACTCAATGAGTAATGGCAATTAATGTGTTATGGATACAACATCTGCTAAATGAGTAGGCCGAACTAGTGTGAGTGATAAAGAACCAGAGGAAGACATTTCTTCAATGGTTGAGTTAGGGCTGTAACGTAGCATGACTTGTTTGTCTGTATGAATTTGGGCTTGAATCTTTGATGATTAGTCATGTAAAATAGCCTTGAAATGAAGAAATACAAATGGCTATGCAAACAAACTATGTGACAAACTCAAATAAAGGTATTTTAATAGGTACATATACCATTTAGATCTAGGTGTGTGACGTTTTTTCTATTTACAGTTCTGGTATGTTTTAGAGTATAAAAGTGTAAGGTATTTCATACATAATATATTTAATCACAACATTTTGGTAAGCTTAATTTTATTTATTGCAAGAGCATATATTTATTTTTTTATGTAATTTGGCTATAATGTTGTTTTACAGTGTTCATGTATTTACAGAATTATTACAGAGTTATTCTAGTTAACTACATGTACGTTGTGTAATTTTGTGTTAGTATAGTAATACATTATAGTAAAGTATTATTATACTATAAAAATTATTAAAATGTTTTTAAAATATGTAAAATGGTGTACAGATCTGCAGACATCCCTTATATAGATGCTATTACTTTTATCTAAATTTATATAATTTATTTATTTCTGTTACGCAAAGCTGGATTTTCATTAGCCATTACTCCAATATTCAGTGTCACGTGATTTTTTAGAAATTATTCTAATATGCTGATTTATTATTAATGTTGGAAACAATTGTGTTCCGTTTTATAGCAGTTTTTTTTATAACCTGTGATACTTTTTTCAGGAATTTTTAATGATTAAAAATGGTTAAAAATAACAGCATATATATATATATATATATATACTTTTCATTTCTATATTTTGTCAGATAGTTTTTTTTTTCTTCTCATGCATCACTGTTTCTAAATTCAAATTTGTAATATAAACACTAGTTTATGCTTTAATTTCAAACTCCGTGCTCTCAGGAATACGACCGGGATCTTGTAGGCATTAGACCCTGGTCAGGAGTGACCACATGTGCTATGTGTTTACCTCACACAGGCTCTCTCTTCAGTTCTTACAGCTTCTCTTTTTGTGTCTGTAGGCCAGAGAAGCAGAGCGCAGGGAAAACTTTGCACGTCTGGTGCAGATGGACGGACAGGATCTGGTTCCTAACCCAGAGAGAGTGGAGTGCAGGATCTGCTATGTGGAGCTTGAGTCTGGCGAGGGAGTCCTACTCCGAGAGTGTCTCCACTGCTTCTGCAAGTGAGGAAGAGTGAGAGTGTGCCGCTCCGAGTGTGCATTTACATTTACTGTTCTGTATTTGTCATGCAGTAGGTAAGAAAACTGTTTTTCTATGGGTAGAGAATGCCTGCGTTCTATGATTCTGATGTCGGAGGACCCTCAGGTGGCATGTCCATACAGAGACGAGGCCTACGCCTGCGACTGCATCTTGCAAGAAAGAGAAATCAGAGCTGTGAGAACTTCCATTTGTTCTGCTGCTTTTAATTTGCTTTGTCTACAAAACTACAGGAGAATGGTATTCTGCAACTGTAACCATTTTCTTGTAATTACCTTATTGGGATAATTAACATCAGTTTCGTATCTTTGTTGTTCCACCCATCAAATGAAAAGTTACACAAATATAGAGATTTACAAATTAAAGGAAGCGCCATCTCAAAAAATGGCTTCTAAATTCTGTTTTTTTTTTATAGGCAAATATCTTGCCTGACACTCCACAAAAATTATGATAATGGTTGGCCTCATTAGCCCCACATCATTTCCAACAGCTGACACTATTACAGTTTTTATTAATAGTTTGAATTATTTTTATATTTTCAGTTTAAAAAGTTTTAGTTATGTTGTGTTTTATCATTGTTATAGTTTTTAATCATTTTTTATATTTAAAGTAATTAAACTAAACAAACATGAGAAATGTTTCATGAGAAGTGTTTTTCATATTTCATTTGAGTTAAGGATTATTTTATTACCGGAAATGTTTCTTTATGGTTTTAGTTAAATTACTACAATAACACTGCTTTACACTTGGCCTGTTCTTTTGCTAATAATGTGCTTATATAGCATCATGGAACAAAATATCTTTATGAATCTGTTGAGTGATATTTTTAAGTATTTTTACACCACTTCTGAGTACAAGTAAACTAACCAATTTATGCCTCGCATGTCCACCCTCTACGCTCTCTCCCGCACAGCTGGTGTCAGTAGACGATTATGAGCGCTGGTTGCAGAGGGGTCTGTCTGTTGCAGAGTCCCGATGTGAGGGCAGTTATCACTGTGCCACTGCAGACTGCCCTGGCTGGTGTGTTTATGAAGATACTGTCAACACTTTCCACTGCCCAGTGTGCAAAAAACAAAACTGCCTGCTTTGCAAGGTATGTCTGCATGTCAAATGCACACTGACATAATTATATTTAGAATGTACTCTAGGTTTTTGTTTCTCTATTAGATTCTCGTTATAATAGGAGGTGAATGACTTTGGCATATTAAACATAAAAACATATTTTGTTTTTTTCCCTTTACTTAGGCCATTCATGAAGGGATGAACTGTAAGCAATATCAGGATGATCTAGCAGCTCGCGCCATCAATGACTCTGCAGCTCGAAGAACAAGAGACCTGCTGAAGGTCAGACACGTACTACTCCAGATCCTTTTCTTATATCAAAGCTCATGTTAAGAAAGGTCCTTTGGCATGTTCTTCAGATGACATCATCTTAAACCCACTGCATTATTTCATTTGAAAGTGCTAAATGTTCATCTCTCTTTTTATTGTCTTCTATCCCCTCACTCACACATGAACAGACTCTTGTTAATTCTGGGGAGGCGATGCATTGCCCTCAGTGTGGCATCATTGTGCAGAAGAAGGAGGGCTGCGATTGGCTCCGCTGTACTGTCTGCCACACCGAGATCTGCTGGGTCACCAGAGGACCACGCTGGGGGCCTAAAGTAAGACTGGAATATAAGCTTTACTCTCTTGCTCCATTGGGTATCTTCCCTAAGAAAACAAGAGCAAGCATAGTGCGTAATGTAGGTTTTTTTCTAAAAACCACGCTCCGGCAGTTAAACCATTCCACGATGGACAGTCATCATGAAAAAGTGGACCTCTAGGTGGAAAAAGCGTCAATGCAAGTGAATGAGAGAAAATAATTATTTTCTGATGCTGTTTGAATTGTGCCATGAATGTAACATATGTTGTCTGTGAATTTTTTATATAGTTTGACAGTATATTGTATGATTCTTTGGGCAGCAGTTGTGGAATAGACATAACGAGAAAGACTACACGTCGCATATGTGACGTCGCCGCATAACACATTTTCCCTCCACAAATCACGGTTTTCACCACGCTCAACTAGTTTGTCCTCTCCCTGAAAGAAGGCGGTGAAGTGCACCAAAGACACAGGCATGTTTAGCAGGATCCGTGGGCTGGTGGTGGTGATGTATATCAAACACGTCGAAAGAGTTGTAGTCCACAAAGTCTAACCGTATAAAAATTCTACCCACTAAATTGTAGCATTCTTTACACAAAACATTATATAAAAAAATTCACAGACAACATATGTTCACATTCATTGCAAAATTCAAACGGGATTAGAATTTTTTTTTTTTTTCCCTCATTCACTTGCATTGAGGATTTTTCAACCTAGAGGTCCAGCGGAGTTAGCGGAAGGGGCGGGACTTACCAGCTCTATAGATTTCGAAGAATCATTGTTAATTGTATTGTTGGAAACAGAGATTCATGTCTTTCTCACTTCAGGGTCCTGGAGACACAAGTGGAGGCTGCCGCTGCAATGTCAACAAACAGAGATGCCACCCAAAATGTCAAAATTGTCACTAAAGGGATGAGTAGCAGACACAGAAGGAGGTACATGTAAGAGAGAGAGCGAAGTGTATTACATGACATGTGAACTGACATATACTGTCCACCTGTGTAAGCTTTCAGTTCAGTTTTCTGATGCTGAAATATAGAAATGTGTAGGTCTGTTGTACAACAAATATTGCAAATAATTTCAAGAAATTCACAGAAAAGCTTTAAATTCACTCAACTGCATGTTAACAAATATCACCTCTACTATGAAAGCATTTTATTTCGAATCGGCTGCAAAAACGTTTAGACTGTTACCAAGCTACAACTATTCACAGTTATTTAAGACAGAATCGTTACTCGAATTAAGGTGCTTGAATTAGTGGTTTGGAAATTAATTATTCCTTCTAACTAATTCTTTTGATGATTCAGTCAACAGGTTAACAGATCACTGGTAAATCGCTCGTGTAAAACTGTGATGTGTTTAAGCAACACAAAATTGAACGTTCTAGATAGCCAAAATCATAAACATTGTGATTAACTAAACAAAAGATATTATATATATATATATATTAGGGCTGTCAAGCGATTAATCGCATCCAAAATAAAAGTTTGTGTTTACATAATATTTGTGGGTGCACTGTCTATTAATTTGTATCTATAAATACACACACTTCTATGAATTTAAGAAATATTTTCATGTATATACTGTGTATAGATTTATATATAATTTATATTATATATAAGTATAAATATTTTATATATATAAATACAATTTTTTTCTTAAATATACATGCATGTGTGTATATTTATAGATATAAAATAATTATACACAGCGCACCCACAAATATTATGTAAACACAAACTTTTATTTTGGATGCGATTAATCGTTTGAAAGCCCTAATATACTGTATATATATATGAAAACTTTTTTACCAATCTGATCAAATGATCTTCGGAGGAGAAAAATAAAGCTATCTGAAGCTGCCGATAAGAATGAAAACAAGGGAATCGTTACAATGCACTTACACAAATACTTTTGTCTTGTCTTAATCTTAAAACTATACTACACTGTTAAGACGTGTTACTGAAAGTGCCTTTTCTTGCCTGTTTTTGTCTCCAAGTCTTGTAACCACTAACATCTAACATTAGCAGTTGTTTTGCAGTGTTACATAATTATTATTTTGCATAATGTACTGTATGTTGCTGTAGATTTTTGATCCAGTATAATTTATGTGTGCAGTGTTTTCCCTCCACATTTCATACGTACAAAGAGATATTGTATTTTGTGCATTGTATGTTGCACATTTGTTCAGTAAGTTTAACACAATTGAGTATAGTTCATTTCAGATGTTATAGTTTGTTTGTAAGTTGGATGTGGTTAATAGCCCAGCTATTTAGAGTTGTTTTAGTTTTACATTGCAATGCTATGCTAAGTTGAGTAGTAGTAATGGTCAAGAGCAAGGACCTGAGGCTTGTGTGGGAAGTTCACAAGCCTGATATAAGCCAAAGGAATGATGTCACTTCCAAAGCTTTGAATCTATGCACTGAAAAAAAAATGTCAGCACCCAAAGCATTTACTTATGCAACTAAATGAACATTTCAAAAATGTTTCCATGAGTCAAAGTCATTATCTAAAACATAATGATAAATCATTATGAAGAAAAGAATATGAAAGGTTTTCGTTTACCTTTTCCCACAAAGCATTTATATTGACATTTTAACTGAGAACCCAATGAATTTATGCAGTGTGTTTGTACTTGTAAAACAGTCTTCAATGAGGGGCCTGTGCGTCCATTCTCATGAAAGATTAGGAACCTCGGTAGCACTTTATTTTACAGTCTTGTTCCTCATGTACCTACTATGTACTTATTATAGTAACTGCAATAACAGGGGTATTTAACTTGGTACAAACCCTGAACCTACCCCTACACCTAACCTTAACCCATGTTGTTACCGTATATTAACCAGTACTTTCCTAAGTACACTGTACACGTAAGTGCACATACTGTAAAATAAAATGCTTATGTTCAAACATGTGCACTATGAAGTTCGAATAGAGTGTACCACAGATAAAAAGTGAATGACAGAAAATGTAAAGGTCTGCACATCTGCAGAAATCTTAACACTTTAATTCAGTAGAATAATCTGACCTCAGGGTTTGCAAGTCTTAAAGAGTGCCTTACAGATTACAGTACTGAGACCTTGTCGCTACAATATTTAAAGGTGTAAAGAAATTCTCTTTACATATTTGGTTTAATTTAACATGCTTCATGTTTGGTTCTTAAAAATAAAAAAAAATAATTACAAACTGCATTGTATCGAACTGTTTTGTACTTTATTCACTGCTGGAATTGAAATGCAAGGTTACACTTTATTTCGATAGTCACTTTAGACGTTCTACTAATTATAAGTAACTTTTCAACTACATGTCAAGTAACTCTCATTAGAGTATTAGTATATTATAGTAGACTGTTAGGTTATGGTTAGGTGTTAGGCTTTGGGTTAGGAGAATACGTTTACTTGTAGTCACCAAGTTTACCTACAGTCAGTTGAATGTCTGTTGGGGACCAACAAAATAAAGTGTTAGCAGATATTAAGCAGACAGTCCATTAAAGCTGTAGTATACGATGTTGAAAATCGGTCGAGAGAGCCTGAAACGGGAGGGAAGTTTTGAAAAACTCATCTCGCCTCTCCACACACACCCCCCTCCCCTCTGCTACCTGATCCCTCCCACAGGGAAACGAATTGAACAACGTCACTCAATCAATTGAACAACGTCACTCAATCAAATTGTCATCATCGGAATGACACGTTTGAGATCACGCCAACGCAAGATTAGCAACACATGAAATGTTCTACACGACTACCCACCACCATAAGCAGGGGCGGCTCGCCCATAGAGGGTGCTGGGGCGCCGCCCTCCCTCCGACCTGTTTGTCTGTTTTTTTTAATATATATTATAATTTATCATTTTGAAAAATAATCTGTGTTAATTATATGCTAATAATGGTTTTACTTTTAAAAGTGTTTTGAACTCACCAGAATGATATTTGCATTCACTTTCGTTACTTTTATCATGTTGGTGTAGTAGTATAGCCAATAGGCTGTCTTCTCAGGGCGCCAGTTCGCTCAGCCCCACAGTGCTGGAATTTAAGCCAATGGTTCCCCGGTTGCTATGCAAAAAAGTTTATATTTCGCCAATCAGCGCCGTCAAATTTTATGGTTTGGGGGCGCTGAAAATATCGCCCACAGTATCAGATTAGGGGAGTGCACCGTGCACGCGCACCACGGGACATTTTTTTTTACCTCAGATGAGAGCAGAATGGCAGCGCCAGTGACGTCGAATGGAAATAATGTAAAGTTAGTCGTGGAAATTGATCTGTCTGTCTCTGTCACTCACTCACTCACTCACACACACATAAACACTGTTTCACACACATTTGATATTAAAATAGTTATAGGAATATTAATACCTGTGTGTTTGCTTTGTTTTTGATGTTTTTAAGTTCTGAGCTAGATTACTGTGTTTAATACTAGTTAAAATCAACTTTCTTCTCATACTTGGGTGTTACAATCAAGAACGTTGTCCCACCCTCTTTTTCAGAGCCTTTTCTCTCTCTCTCTTTCTCTAGTATCAACACATTGTTATCCATTATCCAATTGTCAAAAATATATAGTCTACAGCTGGGGATTGATTAAACTAGATTGTTGTATTACTTATTATTTTTTGTATTACCTATATTATAATTTATCAATATTATGCGTTTGCACTTTTTCTGTCAGCACACAGAGCATAATAAACATTCAACTTGTTCATTATCATTAACTGTCAAACTGTTATTATTATTATTGTATTATTTGACCATTGGTATTGACTGGTTTAAGTTATTTTATTGGTATAGGTAAGAGCATGACCTAAGGCCTAAAATGCACCAGAATGCAGGAAATCACATCTACTAAATTCAAAAATTTTTTGGGGGGAACCCCCAGACCCCCCTCTTATTCAGCCCCCCCCCTACTATAATTTTCACCAGCCGCCACTGACCATAAGTATGATATCAATAGTATTGCTAAGGTTTTGAGTAATTGTTATAGCAGCATACAGCGCATCTTTTTGAAATTCCGATCGGCTCGAACAGAAACCCGCTAGGCATACTGCAATATATTCAAGCACTTCAAGAAATATATTTACTTTGAACCGTGATACAGGTGATGCTAAACAGCTAACATTCCAATGCCGACCGGCAGCATTAGCAAGTTTTCAGACTGATTAAAAGCTATTTATGTAACACGTCACACCATATAAGAGTACAAATAAATGTTTACCTGCTCAACAAAAAGTCAGCCGTGTCAGCGTCGGTCTTCAGTCCCAGATCTCGCTGAAGTTTCCTCCATCGGTCAATGGTGAACCCTAAATTTATCCTACTCAACTTTCGGCGTTCTTCACATTTTCTTTTCGTCTCTGCATTTTCCTCAAACGACTTTCTCTTCCGTCCTAACTTTCTTGTAGGGGCAAGCAGGGGACGCTTGCTGATGTATTTTTCGTTGTTATCCATTGCTGTCTGATGTGCTACTTAGCTACCATGTGCGGTCACCTGCTAAGTGCTAACGTGCGCGATTCTCATGACGCAGAAGGGGGGCGCGGTCGGGCGTGGTTGGGCGCGGTCGGGGTGGAGACGCGAGCTCCAGGCGGAGTTTCATGTGTAGCTGGTGATTGGATGAGAGCAGATGACCAATGTAGCTTTGCGCTCGCAAAGCTTCCATTGGTCAACTTTTATGTGGCTTTACAGCCAATAGAGTGAATGGATTTTTTTCGTTCTTTTTACTATTTATATTGTTAGGATTATACTATATAACCATAAACAGCATCTAAACGAGGATATTAATAATGAACAATCTTTGAAATCGTATATCCTAGCTTTAATACTCTAATGACAGTTAGTTGACATGTAACTTAGTTGAAAAGTTACTTATGGTTAGTAGAATGTCTAAAGTGGACTATCGAAATAAAGTGTTCCCTCAACATCAAAGGTTTTGTATACATACGTTTCAATCCACAGACTGAAAAAAAAACAGGTATCAGCTTAATGAATAATGTTAAAACTTTATTAAACAGCTCAAACTAACAAAACAAATCTTTACAGTTAGTGTGTTTGTATTCAGACGCGCTGATTAAGTGCTTTTCACTTGTTGCAGTGGAGTCAAAAACATTTACATTATAAAGGAACAAGAACAAATGAAATTGAACACAATACAGAATCAGTTCAACTGTGTCTCTCCACCACACTTGAGTCTTAACTTCAGAAAGGATCCTGGTGTGTTTTTATGAAGGGTCCTTGTTATTGGAGCGTGCCATCACTGATGCAGAAATATCTCTGAATATGAGGTGTTTCTCCAATAACAGTCAAGCTTTGCTCATTTTCACTTCACCAGAAGCCACTTAATAACTTTTCATACACAGGCTAAAAAAGACAGTTCAGCTTCTGGTGCAATAAGTCCACGCCATTTGCATTATACAGAAATGAACAAGCTTGTGTAATTGATATACATAAACTGATCAGTGAGGAGATGCTGTGTTTTTGGTTTTTGCTGAGAGAATCCATTGACCCAAGACCAATGTCAATATTTGAATCAAACTTGGAAAAATATAGGCTGCTCAATCAGAGACAGTGAACCTGCACATCATATTTGGTCAAGACTTCCCGAACTGATTCTCTCTGATTTAGTGTGATGTAAGATACACAGCGTGTTTCTCAGTCGAAAATGACATGTTCTCTGAACCCACCTGAACAACACTGTACAAGCCATTAACTGTGATTAGTGCAAGTGAGTGACCCTCATCCATAAAACACTAATGAATCCAACAAACTGTCCATTCAAACAGACACCTTGATTTAAATGGCTGAACCCTTGAAATGACGAAAACAAAATCAGTATGCACACGGACGCAGTGCACCACTTTTCACACAGTTCTTTAGTCGTTTGAGTGTGAATGTTAAAGATATAGATGTGAAATATTAAGAATACCCTTCAGTAAACAACACTGAATAAAGACAAAGATGCAGAAGTGATCATTTTCACATCCACGTAGAACTCCTGAATTCAAGAAAACCCAGTGCGAGGCATTTGGGAGAAAACAGTGCACATTTTGGTCTATTGAAAGTGTCATATTTAGGAGGGGCTATATACAGAAGGATCTATGTACACTTTGTTATATATACAAGCCAAACGATAGGGAACGTACGTAACTGTGTCCTTCTACGCCTAATATAGGCTTATACACACTCTACACCTGACAGGTAGCACATGCTACGCTGTGAATCATCCTGTGTTTTTGACTCCCTGTCAAGATCCGAAGGCTGATGCTTGAGGAAATTTAAAGTCCAATAAATAAACAAGCATATGAATTCAGCTAGCATTCACAAAGGATGTCAACGATGAACAATGGATTAGATTTCTTTTAGGGGATAATGTTTCATTATGCAGTGAAGATGCCTTAGAGTAGGGATGGGCAACTTCAGTCCTGGAGTTCACTCTGTAGGACTGTCCTACAACCCTGAAAAAATCACCTGCCTGTAACTTTCTAGTAATCCTGAAGACCTTGATTAGCTTGTTCAGGTGTGTTTGATTAGGGTTGAAGCTAAACTCTGTGGGACAATGGCCCTCCAGGACTGAAGTTGTCCATCACTGCCTTAGAAGATGGACTACGATCTAAATGATGAATATTTGGCACTGCAGTTCTTGGAGAAAACGGCAAACTGACTATTTCCAGAGGCAATGTCCTGAGCCCTATCGTAGCGACACCCACAAAAAAAGATATCATGGGTTGCGTCCAAAATCGCGTGCTCAATTGAATAGGTACTTATTTTGAATAAGTAATTACTTCACGACCGCTACAAAAGTACGTTCTATGTAGTATAAGTGCGTGTAGTATGAATAATCTGGACGTACTACATCTGCCATGTTGTCATTATCATGTGACCCACCAACGTAGGTTGAGTCACTTCACTGCGATTCACAAATGCTCTCCCATGGCCTCATGTAGTGTCAATCATATGCACATTTCAGAATGCTCCTGTCCCAAATGGCACCCTAAACAATCATGGCCTTCCTTTGAGTCCGCAGTTTCGTGACCTCGAGAAGAAGTCTATTACGGAGACTTCAGTGCTGGCTCAACAAAAGTGTGCATCAAGGCCACATATCAACCGCAAAGGTGTGCTCACGAGCACACTTCTGAGACCACTCCACTTTTTTTGGAAATAGGCTCATTTTACAACTCCCTCAGAGTTAAAATAGTTGAGTTTCACCGTTTTCGAATCCATTCAGCCGATTTTCTGATATTTAGAAGAATATCAGTTACCAGACAGTTTCTGGTCTCATTGACTTCCATAGTATATTTTTTTCCTACTATGGAAGTCAAGGAGACCAGAAACTGTCTGGTTACTGATATTCTTCTAAATATCAGAATATCAGCTGAATGGATTTGAAAACGGTAAAACTCAACTATTTTAACTCTGAGGGAGTTGTAAAATGAGCCTATTTCCAAAAAAAGTGGAGTATCCCTTTAACCTGTTAACTGTCACCCCCCCTTTTTTGAATAGACATGAAAATGCACATTTTGAACTTAAATGGTTGTAATTCAAGAATGCTTTGGAATATAGACATATGATTGGTCTTGTTTTAAAGAAGACATTTGGCAGATTTTTGTAGAAGTGAAATAAATTAAGAAAGTGAAACAGAAAAAAAGTTATAGAAGTTTGAGTTTATGGAAATGTACAATGTAAAAATATTAATTATTCATATTTTACATAAAATATATATTTTCAAAACCTGGGCTACTCTAAAATGTCAGAAAGATCAAAGCCAAAAATCTGAACAAGTTGTGTTTCAAATTTTAGGTTGATATCTCAAAAAATGAGCTTTCAGTAAGATTTTGTTTGGGTGCAGTACCAAACTTTTTCACTAGGGCACAATCAGACTCCATTACTGCCCATATAAGGGCGCCTGCATTTCCATTCGTGTTTTGAGTGATATGAACCATTATTTTCACAATTTTCATACAATTTCTGAAGTAGAGATCCTATTCAGAAGTAGCATGGGAAGTTTGGCAGATTTTGATATGAATTGAACCTCTAAGAAACACATACAAAGAACACGCATGTAAGTCATAGCTAGCTGACACGTCACAAATGGTGAATTTATTATTTTTTTCTTGATATTTCAAACTTTTCAGACCTTTTTTTTCCAAAATAATTGAATGGATTCTATCTTTTGAACTTTTGGCATGAAAACAAACTGAGGTATCTACCATTTTTTCATGATTTTTCATGTTTATTGCTATTTTAAAATAAAGGTCTGAACACGCCTTATGAGTATGAAAATATTCTTGTTTTATATTGATAAATTATGGCTCCTCTGTAATATATTTTGAAAATCAGTCACCACATATGGAAACTAGAGATTGTAAGCTTTCAAATGATATATAGTTTGTCAATATTATTTAAGGTATTTACTGAGATATTATTGTTTTAAAAATATAGTGGCAAACGTCCCACCTGTGGGACGGTGACAGTTAAGTGGTTAAATGACAAATGGTACACACTATGGTCTCATTGATTTAACAGACACACACGTGGCAACCATTGTTAGTCCTCAAGACTGAAAGTACAAAATATGAAGTGTGTCATTTGGGACAGGGCCAATCTCGCCATAAGAAGTGTTACCCGGGTACTTTTTAATTTATCTTTTATGATAACTGTGAATTCGGACATACTTTTGTCACATACTGTTTTTCACCTACTGCTCCATAGGATTATGAGGCGTGCCTTAACCGAACCAGGAAAAGCGAACAAACTCTGCACTCAATTGGATAGACCTACAACCAATTAGATGAACGCAGTAAGTGACGCATGTTGAGCATGCTAGTTGTCAACAGAACTCAACTGCTCGCACGCTGGAAGTAGTAGTAAAATAATGAGTGTTGCTTCTTCTACTTGGTCCCCCATGAGTACGACTAAAGGAGAAACCAAAACAACCACATGGTTTTTATTGCGGTTTTTCATTGCGATTTCTGAACCGATCATAATTACTCCTGACCGACCTTCCCGACCAAAAAATGTTGTGGGCGGGGTTCGGGCTGGCATCCAGGCAACACGACCCTGATAAATGGTGCAGGTTTTCCCGGCAACACTGACTCTAGCTGTGCTGATTCGGCAGTAAATTGTATCTCATTTTTTGCACCTGCATTTTAAACATAATTCTAGACGTTATTTGCCTGCTAAAAAAGGCAAAACATGTTTGTCTGCATTTCTTGGGCAAAGTAATCAGTTATTGATCATCATCGCAATGACTAATTTCACCATAGCTATTAATGATATATGACTAACATGTTGCAGAATCAAATTAGACAGACAAAAATGACTTTACTGCATAGCATATCCACGAAACAGGGCAAAATAATAAATTTTGTTATTGATTAAAGCAAAAGATGTGTTATTGCATATGAAAAGTTATGGGTTCAAATTAAATTTCTGTTTACAACAGAATAAAAAGAAGGTGATTGAGAATATCTTAAGTGTCCCTTTGGCTATATCTAACAAACATTGCTTCCCCTGAATTAAATGTGTATCATATCCTGCTCTATGTGCATTGCAGCACATCTGCATGGCCTTCACTCACCTTTCAGTCTCATCTGAGTTTTACAGTGACCACGACAACTCAGTGGCCTGAGAGACTCAGAAAACACAAATTAGAACGAAAGAGAAAAAAAAACAGGAGGACACAAACAAGCCAGTGAAAAATATGAAAGCATTTGTCAACAAGTTTCTCCCTGGGCATTAGTAAGTGCTCCCGTGATAAGAGCAAATGAGAGGCAGGGTGCGCACATCGACAGTCAGACAGGAAATATATGTGAGTGTATGGGGTCATCGGCAGATGGCTGCAAAATCCACCTGGAATGAGGGAACGGAGGCTGGAAAAGACAGAAGATACAGAGAGGAGGAGAAGGTTTGGTGCAGGTGTGTCTCTGCTCTCTCTTCTGAAGGGTCAGATCTGGAGAGAAGAGGAAGGCATAGTCTATTGTGCTCATCACTGGCACCTCCACATTGGTCATCAGCTGGTCAGGTAACTGTGCAGCTCCCTTGAGTTTATGCTCAACACCACTCCTGAGTGGTTGCCTGGCAACAAGAACATCAGAAACCAGTCTTGTTAAGCTGAAAAAGAAATTTCACTCAAGGTTGTTGAACAATGTAACACATGTAGACATTTAATAACGGTTAGTTTAATAACAACAGATTATACTGCATTAATGATAATTTAGGCTTTTTGGGTTGTGTAGATTTTAATCAAGCAATGTGGTAAATAGTAACATTTACATTTTATGTTGGAAGGAAAAATATTAATAATTTTTATGTTGGGTAAGAGTGATAAACATGTATTAACAATAACCAATAATAATTGTACATAAATAAACATTATAAGTGTAGTCCATGATAACCTGATGCATTACCTAATATGAACAAATTGAACCTTATCGTGAAATGTTATCCAAAATAAAAATTAGTGGTGATGTTAGACTGATCACAACTTTTCTTGTAAGTAATGACTGGTTAGTGTAGCCAGGTAGGGTAACTGTGCATTTGCTTCTACCTCCAGTGTTACCTAGTGTCTGCGAGTCAAGGTCGTCATCAATGAACTCCTCGTCTTGAATGATATTCTGCGTGTCCTCACTGTGATTGACAGGGCTGGTCATTTCCTGCTCCTTCTCATTGTGCATCTGGGCGTAGACGTTTCGCCCTGGCAGTTTTCTGAAACGCAGCCAGGGACGCGTTAGGCTGCTCTCCTCTGGCCTCAGCAAGGAACCATGGTTTTTGTAGTTTTTCCTGTCACAGTTTTGTAGTTCATGTTCTGTTATATAAGCTGGCTGTCAATTAAGACATGTGGGGACTGAACATGCATTCTTCTGTGATGGGGTATGACAGGACATTGAGACTGAAAGATTAAAGCTTCTCTAAAAAACATTGTAGATGTGTGTAGCATGCAATTCAGTGATGGGCAGCAAGACACAATGGGTATGTGCAAGTTATACCTACAAAACAGACAGCTCTGACATGAAGCTATATCAGCTGTATTCAGCTCAGTTATCAGGAAATTGGATTTATTGAGTAAATAAAATGTTAGTCCTAATAACCCACATCAGCAATGACAGGAAGGTTCTCTAAATATGTGAAATAGCCTATACTTATAGCCTACAAAATTGAGGCATTTGAAAAATGTAAATGAATTGTATTTTACGAATGGAAAAAAACTGAAGTAACTGACAAACCTTTTAAACTTGAAGAGTATGAATGCTGCAGCAGAGATCAAGCTTATGAGGAGAAAAACAGCGAGAGCCCAAACACCTGGACCTGCTGCGGCCAGACGAGAACCTGCAGGAGACCAGCTTCTGTCATCAGCTTATATTGCATTATCAAACCCTTGATCACATTTGTCATTCGATTCATACCAATTTTGACTTTGCTCAACTTTGTCATTAATTAAAGGCAGTTTCATTTTTGTGTGAGCTATCCTTTTACTCGTCACCTGACTCACTTTCTACAAACTTACCAAACACTTCAAAAACGAACAAACAAATAAAACCAATTCAAACCAAAATCACTCAAATCACACACAAATGTACACACCTTGTGTGGATGAAGGCATTTGTGTGGCTGTGATGCAGACAACAACAAAACAAACAAAATTACTAAAAAAAAACCCAACAACAACTAAAAATTATCTTTAAAGGAAAGTTCAGAAAAAAAGAATACTCAAACATGCATGTGTTATTAAAATTAAGAAGCACTGTACACGCTCAAAACTCAAACAGAAATGCAAGCCAACAGAGGCATACATAAAGAGTAAATGAAGTAAAGTCAATGTAAAGACTAGACCAGAAAACAGAACAGAAACCAGAAATTATTCCATTATTTTCCCTTTTATTTTATAACTCTGCATTAGCAAGACAATATTCTTAAAGTGAAGAGGACACTTCTAAAAGCGAGAGGTAAATGTGACGCACCAGTCTCTGTTGTGCTGGCAGACAGGTCACTAGTTATAGGTCCTTGGAAATACATTGTGTGTTTTAGGAATGATGAAGGGCTTGCTGTAAAACTATAATTATTAAGTGACTCTTGGTTGTTGAAGGTTGCAGAATCTGTTTTATTTTGCTCACCTGAATCAGAGGATGCCAGAGTCACCAACACACGTAACCCTCCTCTCACAATGAAGCTCACATTGTTCTCACTCAGAACCTGCTTTATGGTGGGAACACGCTACAGAAATGAATACATACAAACAAACATCACTTCAATACTCATTACTGGTAACACTTTACAATTAGATTTCATATGTTACCATTAAAATGAATAAGAATGAACGATACTTCTACAGCATTTATTAACCTTACACTCTAAAAAATGCTGGGTTGTTTTAACCCAATTTTGGGTCAAATATGGACAAACCCGAAATGTTGGGTTAAAAATGTAATGTAAAAATTTAACCCAACGGCTGGGTTAGTCCATATTTGACCCAAAGTTGGGTTAAAACAACCCAGCATTTTTTAGAGTGTAGTTAATGCTAATCTCAGAATGTTCTCTCTGTTTACATTCGATTCAATGAACTCTGTATTATGTTTATTCCTGAAAGTATCTCCAGGCTCTGCTAAGTTGTTTGCAGATGTCCATTTTAGGCCACCGTATCAACAATTATATTGCTGGATTAATGTTTTGTTGAATGAGCATGTATCTCTTCTCATTCGAGTGGCTCTTCATCCCTGGCAACATGAAAGACCAACCTTATCCACAAACACACTCCTCTTCACTGGTGTGCTGACTGGAGGCAGAACATACAGGTCTGCAGTGGTGGGAAGACCAGGCTTTACCATGGTAACCAAAGTGTCCTGAGGAACCCCCGCGAGCTATTAGACAAAGAGTTCGATAGGATGAGAAAAAATTGCATAAAAAAACAAAGGGAGCTCAAATGTGTGTCTATGTGTAGGTTAATGATTGAAGCGACAACCTTAGCAAGAATTGTGGTTACGACTTGTCCCACATCTTGTCTCCATTCAGGGATGTTTGGGTTAAAGCGGTCCAAATTGCGACTGAAACTCAATGGTATGACCTGGAAATGATCTGTAGAGAGACGTTTAAGGTATCATTAAAGTTAATACGGCATATGAAAAAAAAAAAATCAGGCTGTATAAAGTAAGAGATGATTTTATACAGTATAATGAAACATGGCAACTAGAAATGTGCTGTCAATCAAAAACAGGTTCTAATATTAAGACTAGAAAAAAACACAGCAACAGTTTCAAAATCAGTTAGGAATTGTTTAACCAAGAAAATATTTTTTTAATTTACTCACCCTCATGTTGTTCCAAATGCATATGCTGTTATTTTTTTTCAGTGGAACACAAACATTTTTTGAAGAATCTTGCCATACAACAACAGTTTTATTTTAACAAACAGTGTTCTGATATGTTCAAAAACACCCATGAGATTTATAAATCCTATATTTTAGACAAAGATGCATTATCAGATGCAAAGATTCATTATTAGATGCATAATTAGATGCAAAGATGTCTTTCAGTCAGGCTATCACACACAATTATTTTTTACTATAGCAAAGCAAGTGGGTTTGGAATGACATGAAGGTGTTTAAGTAGATAAATTACGACAGAGTTGACATTTTTGGGTGAATTTTCATCTGACCCGAAAAATATTCTGTAAAAAAGACTTGCATAACCAGTTAAAAAGATGTGATTTAAAAAAAGCAGTGAAAATTTTACGGCCAAGTCATTTGTCTACAGACATTTAAGTTGCAAAGTCATCCAACTTAATTTATTAAATTACTTAACCCAACAGGTTTAATTTGAGTTTGACTTTGAGGACAAACAATATGAACCAGTGGAGTGACACAGTTGTGCACAACAGTTCTTCATTCTGCATTCAAGCTGAACATTGTCTCTGAGGAAGACTGTCATTTCTGCTTTCCAAGCATGACCTCATCCTATCACACCACACTCATAAATATTCAATCCAGCTCTGGAATCACATGAATATTTTATTTCTATTTAACACTATCATTACAAGAAAGAAATATGGTTTAGAAAGATTTTAAATGTCACACAAATCAAGAAATGAAACAGTCCATGTACATTGATTGTTCTCAATCTGTTTCAAACTCTTTAGTATTGATATAGTGTTCCTCTGAATGATGGTTAGCTTAGGGTGTATGTGTGTGTTTAATCACATACAATCTGTGGTTGTCACAACATCCGTGTGGTTTTGTATTATTCGTCCCACATACTGGGCAGACTAGGGTTAAAAAAATGGCCTGGACTTTCTGTCCCCGTTTCACAAAACACCAAACCATAACACACCGGTTCACAGATGTGCAGAACAATTTAACTCCACTTACTAGCATAACAATACAACAAAATAATATATCATAAATGCTATTTTTGCATTTTTTGCTCATCACTTACAGTAATGAACGACTGGCATACTTATGCTATATAAGTTATAATTTGAATATAGTTTTTCTTAGTGCTACCAGGCAAATAGAATTTTAAATAATTTTTACACAGCTCAGTTAAGTATCACTAATG